TTCCTCCATTCTAGAACGATCTAGAAAAAAAAAGCAACAGACGATCGAGGAAAAAGCATCAAACTATTGGTTCTGGGATGTAATAAACGATAAAAGTTGTGCCATTGAACAGTCCCTTCTTGGGATGCGGCACGCATTCTGCTTCCGCTCCCAGATCCCAGTATGTCGCCTATACAATGACTTGCGGGGCCAACTGATGTACTGGTTAGCGTCCTTGTCCTCCCAGACAATTTACTCTTCGGAATCTAGGAAATTTGGGACCGCACGCCTGGTAAGGTGCCACTAACCAGTTACCGCTCCGCCTCATCCGGGGATACACCAGTTTGAAAGCCGTGAAATCTCACTATTTCTTGCCATGTCCAGCTTCTAGCCTCATTCCCGCCAAGAAATTATAGCTCCCCTTCCCGAGAGAGTCAAATACGGCCCCTCATGGACGATGACTGAGGATTTGAGGATTCCACAAAAAGATCTGTACCTTGAACCTGTTGCTTATGGCTACACCCTGCTATAAGCTATACAAAGTCTGTGGGTGATTCCGCGAAACAGATCTGATGGGTATTGATCGACGCTTCAGATGAGGGCAGAGTCCTTGCACACCAGGGAATAGTGCCGTCGGGGAAATTTTTTGCAAACTTTCACCCTTATCTCAAAATTTGCCTTTCTAGTATGACCTCCTCCAACGGCCAAACACTATTCACCCCCTGTGATCGCAACGCACGACGTGCTCTGTTGCACATGGCTTTGTGGGAGTTCAGATAATTGTGGTTACGAAGCCCATTGAATTCCTGGATCCATTGGGTAGGGTTTGTAAGTCAGTTTCGGGAAGAAAGCATGTGGAATATTTGTCCTCAATACGACCCTACCCCAGTCCCACAAAGACCGAGGATGGTCGTCCTAGCAACTATAACAAAAACAGAGCACGCCGTACGTTGGAATTTCTGAGGGCGAGGAAGAGGGTCTTTAAGGCGTTACCCTGGTCTTTACCTTTCGTGATCACATTTTTTTTTCCACACCGATTCCTTTCGGAGGGGGGGGGACAAGGGTTGTTCTGACGAAGGATTTCCAAGGGTGCATTCAGAGCACATCTTTAGTTGAAGATTTTGCTCGATTCCGTACGACTCCCTTTTTAGGGGGTTGGTACGACCCCTGGTTTACTCCTCATCGAGCTAGCGAGTGGGGGGGAGGGGTTATAGGTGAAAAGCGCATGTGAAACGGTAAAAACCGCGAAGCACGACCCCCCCCCCCTCTCTACCTATCATTTCTTAGATTTTCCCCAACTTCCTACCCCTTTTCCCGGATTATTCCGTTCCCGAGGATTTTCCTACATTTACCCAAAAATTTTGCTGTCGAGCGAACGGAGGGAGGAGGAGGAGGGGGGTATATGGTACACATGAAACAAGAAAACCCGCGAAAAATCGGCAAGCTCTATCCGGAGATCAGAAGACCCCCCCCCTTAACAACAACGAGCAAATACGACCCACTTTACTACGTGCCTAAGGTATGAAAAACCAACTACCAAAAAAGTTTCCCAGCCTATACGACCCCACCCTCTCCCAGCGACCCCACTGTTTTAGGAGATCCCAGCAGTTATGTACGCCGGCTGATAAGCAGTGGAGGAAGTAGTAATACCTCGACGATTAGGGACAGATATTACGCGCCCAAAACGGGAAAATTTTCCAATGAAAAAATGTCACCAGGTCAGAACGACCCCCTTTCTAACGTTTTAATTCCTTATCCACGAATATGCAGAGGTTACGGGCCATGCCTGGGTTGTTGTTAATAACGAGATTTACTAAAGAAGGGTAGGTGCTAATGACCTGTGAGGGGCGGGGGGGGGGAGTTGAAAGACTCCTTGTACAGAAGTGGGATTACCTCAACCAGCATGGAATGTCGCATACCCATGAGCTCCTCCCCCCTTTAAATTCACAGAGTTTTAGTCCCTGTCTCGGTAATCCTAGTTGTGCTCAGGGAAGCCCCTAAACCTCCCTCAGCTGAAAGTTATTAGTAGAGGACTTCGATCATGTATTCACTTTGGCAATTACTCTTTTTGATTATTGAAAATTTTTCGTACTAAATAATTCATAGTTCAGGTAATGTACGACGGAAAAAGGAACTATCTGCAACAATTGTGTGCAAGTTGTTTGTGGGCCGATTGGCGCTGTAATAATTGTGGACGAGGTACGGTAGCGGTTTTATGACCGACAACGTAATCAACCATGAGCAATTTTGAACAAAAAAATTAGTTCATTGTTACTTTGAATCGGTACGTATTATGTTCTGTGAATGTACCAAAAGAAAAGGTAAAAACGAAATGAAAAGTGTGATTTCATCGTTGCATCACAAAATGAAATTAAACTTTTGAATTTTCTCAGAATTGTATTTCTTTGTGCTAGTTATCAGTGCATCCAAAAATTACATTCCAAAAAAACGACATTACCTAATGAATATATTTATTGACAAATTCAATCAAATAGGTTAGCGCTCCGTACCCACTAACGACTCGATATTGGGCCTCTAAAAGTGCGGGGGAGCGGGGCCATCGAGACGCCTGTATGTTCCCCTCTCTGAAACAAGGTCTAGCCATATCAGCGCAGGATACCAGAGGTCAGCCCAAGGATTAGATCTTTGCAGAGAGAACGTGGTGTCCCACTTTCTCTACTAGGATTAACAATAAGCCTAAACCTTGATCGGAAGAAGGGACATAGAGATGCTGCCGAGTAGTCCTCCAAGCTCAACGACGTCAGTCCGATGCACTGAGTTTGCACCCATATTGGTTCGTTCCTTAACTTTCAGCAGTGGGTACTGTTTAGCTGGAGGGGGGAGGGGGAATTTTGCATATTCACTAGTTTCTTAGTTCTTAGTTCCTGTACACGTCTCACTTTAGCGAGCAGGCATAGCGGCAGTGATCCATGACAACTAGCAACACGCCCCTTCAAATAGTAAAATTGGATATTATTATTCTAATAATGTGCGGAAATTGGAACCTCAATCTTTTGCTCAAAAATCAATTCACTCTTCGCGGGGCTCCCTCTCTGGGCCCTGAGCTTGAGCAGAAGCAACACGAAAAAATCACCCTCCCGATTTACGTCATTTCTTCGCACTCTCCATTTCTAAGGTCCCCCCCCCGTTGCAGTAGCGCTGAATCTGAATTTAGTAACAAGGTTTAGTAAATTTAAATGTTATGAGCTGCTGTTTTCTCTAAACTTTTTCATTTTCTGTTTCAAAAATTCAGTCGATATCACCACTGCTTCTACATAGTATACAAGATTGATATAAGGAATTATTAAGCTTTGTGCTAATTTTTTCCCGTTCTCCTTTTTGCATGCCTTTTGCTGATTGCCCGTGGTTATTTTTGTTTTTTTTCAGGTGGCTGGTTCAACGGAAAATCGATTGTTCTTGGAACGCTCTACTATTATGACATTGGTGAGATATGTAATGAAATTTGTATTCAGTCAGGTTTTCAGGTTTCGTTGTAAACAAAAGTGCTCTCTGCTGAAACTGCAAATGAATTCTATAAATCCCATAAAAAATTCCATAACAACAGAGCACTGGGGCTGATAAATTACGTGAAAAATTCCTACCTGTTTGTGTAATAGCGAAAATGGCGTCATCTCTTGTTGTCGTGACACATATGGTTATAACGAAAGTTGTAAATTACCTGTAAATGGAAATAAGCGACACGTCATACGTTGCAGTTCCTGCAACGCAAGGGAGGGGTTATATTCTGCTATATTCTGCTGCGAGCAAGAGAGGAACAGCATGGAAAAATTTCCCAGTATTGATTTTTCCCGTTATAGATTTTTCCCTTTTCACACTTGCTATATAGTACTAGCCGGCGGGTTGCCACCCCCTCTCCCCCGCTCGACGGCTCGATTCGATGAGGAGGGACAGAGGGCCGGGGAGAGGGCTGCCAACCCCCCCCCCCCCCTCCCTCCGCCCTCCTCCTCGAATCGAGGAAAGCCCGCCAGGCGGCGCCAGCCCGTCTTTCCTACCAATACTTTCTATCGCCCACCTCCACAATCGGCTGGATTGAGTTGGTGGGCAGCGGCAGACCACGCCTCCCCCCCCCCTCCCCTCCATCCCGCACGAGTAAGACTGTAGCACTACGTAAACAGGAAAACATCGGCACGAAAATCCTTGTAGCGATCAAAATACCATACGTTACAATGTTACTTATCCACCGCAACCACGCCTTCTTGAGGATGTACCCCCAACGTTTTTCAACGCTTGCACCAGAAGGCCGAGTTAAGCCCCGCCCGAAGGTAGGGATTGCTCTGTGAGCCCTCTGTAGGTAATGTCGTCCAGCTGTAGCGTCTGTACCCATTCGCACTGTATAAAAGCCCGAATGGGTTTCACTGCACATTACTGCGGAACGTCCTAGTACAAGAAAAGGTAACGAGGAACAAAGAAGAAGAAAAGGTGCAGGAGAAACGAATTTCTAAATAACCGTTAACACGTCATCGCTGTTCGCTTGGACGGAGACAGTCTACGGATAAGTGGACTCTTTCCTCATGTTCTCCATTTAAATGGCAAGTGAAGAACTTACGGAAAAGCAGCAACGAATGGCTTCGCCAACAACGACGTGGACTACAGTTTATGCTGGGCTAGAACCCACAAAGTGTATCGAGATTGTATGACTATTGAATAGAAAGAAACCTAACCAGGTCCTTAATAAAATTGCTTCATGTACTTTTTGCTCTAATTTTGTTTCCTGTAAAATCTTTATTTCAGTTTCGGCCGGTAAATGCTGTCCACCGACGTGTACTGTGTGCCGTAGTCCACTGCTAGTACCGGAAAACATCATGATGCAGATTGTGAATGTGAGATAATGGTATAGTTTGAACGCTATTCCGGTTGCATACCTTTGGAATAAGCTCAAATATTTGCTAAAAAATGGCATTGATCCCTTTCACGGTTTCCCCTTCGAGCCTGAGCCAGTCTCAGAAATTACTCCAGAATTGGTCTTTTTGCCATTGACTCTAGTCGCCCTTTAATTGATATCGTCGCTGTCAGTCGGGCAGGTGTCAGGAGGCGTGGAATGAGCCTACTCGCAGCCTGTTTCCATTATTCCCTATTTCTCCAGTGAACGCGCTGAACACCCCCTCCCTCCCACGCCCCCCCCCCTTCCTTCCACAGCACTGTCGCCACTGTCTAGAATTCTGGTGGCTAGCGAAATTCGCAACACCTTCGCTCCCCAGCCTCATCCTAAACCTATAGCTTTTGAGGCGCAGGCTCACAGGCGTGCGTCACACCCCAGCAACTGAAATGGACGGGATTACGGTACACCCAGTTCACGGGGCCGGCACACTTGATTTTCTTTTTTTCACACAGTTTTGATTCAAGTATGTATCTGCGGTTCTCTTCGAATTGTAATTTTGTTACAGTTAACCCTATCATAAGCAAAATCCATGGAAG